TGATTGATTGATTGATTGATTGATTGACTCATTTTCATGGCCTAAACCAGCTTGTTTTGAGCTTGAGGACCCTTAGAAGCTCTGAGAACAAACATAAATGAGGCGTATTGTTCATGTGGAGGACTAGTTTTGGTTAAACTGACCTGAACCTGCAGAGGATGACCATGGCGGTGGTCAGAGACACCAGCGACGTGCTGTAGCCCACCGTGTAGAGGGCCTTGACCGAGGCGTAGTACATGTCCTGGTGGAGCAGACGGACACGAGTGAGTCTGGTGGTCGTGTGTGCGATGTGTGTGATAAAAACAAGAACCGGGTGAGGTGAACGGGAGCGTACGGGTTTGGTGGTGTTGTCGTAGAAGAAGCAGACGTCCACGTAGTGAGGGAAGGGCTCGGACCAGCCGTCCTCGGTGCAGTTACGACTCACCTTTCCCATTTCTGGAAGTGGAAAAAAACATGCCTCAGTACAGCTCACGTGATTGATCAGACTTTACGTTGGTGCCACCCACCGTCCTCGGGGCCCATGAAGTCGTGGAACAGCTCCGGACAGTTGACCACCACCACCTCTCCGACGCCGGCCGCCTGCCAGCAGGTCAGGTTGTCCCACATCCACTCGCAGCCTGCAGACAGAGCAGCACACGGGGTCAGCGTGGAGCTCCTCGGCTGGAGCTCTGCTGTTACGACGCAGAGTAAACGATGCTGACGCTAATTAAAACCAAACTGGATTCGAGATAATCGAATCGGAGGTGAGAGAGTTTAATCTGATACCCGGGACGTCCGTGATGAAGTTACGGCGAACATGAGAGCAGCTCTCAGGCCCGATTGAACCGTCTGATCGGGTTCAGCTTTGATGTTTGGACCAAAGTCTAACGGGACACGTGCAGATTACTACATTACAAACACTAACGGATCGGATGTGTTTTCCATATTTGTGTGATTCTGTTTCTTGGTGACTGAAAAATGAAAAATTTAATGTTTTTATCTTCTTTCTTTTTTTACCAGCTCTTGTGGAAAACATGTGACTCTTCATCTCCACTGCGTTCACAGCCTCACCTGTCTGCTGCAGCAGGTAGCGCACGGTCGGGGGTTTTACAGCATTATTATTTTTGCTGATACGTCATTTGAAACTCACTGCAAAGCTCCACAAAACTGCAAATTCAGACGACTTTTATTCGACGCATATTGAGCACGTGAGCGTGAAGTCGCTTTAACTTATTTGTGCCGTTATTCGTCCGTCCATGACAAACGTACGGGGGGTTGAGTTTTTCCATTTTAATTGCATAAAGGGTTTAAAGTTATTTGTAATTCAGTCTGTTGACGATATTTTATCGCCTCGACTCCACTCATGGTCCACTTTGACTTTAGCTGAACGTTAGCAATGCTAGTTAGCAATGCTAGTTAGTGATGCTAACAGACCACCTGGTGACATCTGAGACGCGTAAAGCACACGTTTATTCCTGCTGACATTGATCCACACACGACCCTGAAGGGATCGACTTCATCAACCCACCACGACGCTGTCTGACCTTTTCTCAGCGAGTCCACACCAGAAGCACCTAATGATCAAACACCATCACTCATTCCTGACCGAGCAGCACCAGAAAAACAACACAAACCACACATCTGGGCCGACACCTTTAAGGAAACGTGAGCATACGGACTGATCAGTCAGCAGGGATCAGCACGGTCCTGGTGTCATGAGGTCGGAGCCACTTCCTCGTTTCACTTTCACGGATCCCTCCCACTTGTCTTATTTTTATATTTAGCTTTACTGTTTAGCTGTGAGCTACCTGATCACACCTGTGCTGCTACGAGACAACCTGCTGCTTTTAGTAACTTGATCCATCTTGTTGTTTTTCTTCTGATAGGAATAGAGAAGTCTCATTTATCACTAACTCCCTTTATGCTGAGGAGGCAGCACTAAGGCTTTAACCCTCCACCTTTCTGATTGGTGACCAGGTGGGCTCCGTCATACTGAAACAATACTGTGTTTTAATTCATGGATTCGTTATGATTTATTACATTTCACACAATATCAGTTTTCCAAACCTCTGAAATCATCACAACAATTAGGAAACGATCCAAACAGCCACGTTAAACCAACAAGAGCTGTGAAATCGTGGATTTTTTTTTGATTATGCAAACATGATGAGAGCTGCTGGTGGATCAGTGGTTAGCACCATCACCTCACAGCTAGAAGGTCGCCGGTTCACGTCCCGGTGAGGACACCCGGGATCTTCCTGCGTGGAGTCTCCATGTTCTCCCCGTGCAGCGTGGGTTCTCTCCGGGTTCTCCGGCTTCCTCCCACAGTCCAGAAACATGCTGAGGTTAATTGGTGATTGTAAATTGTCCGTAGGTGTGAATGTGAGTGTGCTTGGTTGTCTGTCTCTAAGTGTAGCCCTGTGATAGACTGGTTACCTGTCCAGGTGAACCTGCCTTCACCCTGAGTCAGCTGGGATAGGCTCCGCCCCCCATGACCCTGGTGAGGATTAAGGTGTAGAGATGATGGATGGATGCAAACATAACGTATTATAATAAATGTGTTCAGCACTGGACCTACTGGATCAATAAACTCTGCATAAATCTGCTGTTCATTCATTCACTGTTACTTCTAGTTCCAGTGTTTGCTTAATACGTACAAAACAGATGCACGATGTCACAGCTCCTGTTACAATAATAATTATATTTTAGCATTAAACACATCCTTTAGGCTACATACTGGTGCACTAACCGTTACAGAAACATGAGAGATGACTGTGGTGATCACCGATGCTGTTAATGTAGAGCAGCTGTGGCATCAACCTGACACTGGGTGGAGGTCTAATGGATTTATTCAGCTCTGTAAAGTCACCGTCCGGCAGCAAACAGCTTCCTGAAGGTCGCGACAGCAGCTGCTGAAACCTTTAAGGCGAGCTGATTCAGACGTGGGGTCACGAGTAGCGCGTCAAACTGTACTTAGGATTTATCAGCAGAGTTCCAACATCAGCTCGTCGTGGTGTCCGATGAACAGGAAGCTACAGGTGCTGGTGGTGGATCGGTTCAGTCTGAGCTTCTGTTTGGATCTCCTTCTGTTCAAGTGTTTCGACCCAAACTTTCCTTTACCTCCAGTCCTCCTCTCTGCTGTGAGTCCGACCCGTGAGCGTTTCAGCCCAATACATCTGTGTGTGTGTGTGTGTGTGTGTGTGTGTGTGTGTGTGTGTGTGCGCGCGCAGACCTTTCTCCACTCGGCTTGGCTCTCTAATCTGTTTTGGTTCTGTCTGGTGAGCCGGACACGAAGCCAATTACCTTTTAAAGGGCAAATCGGAGCCAAATGAGCCGCACTGAGCTGCAGAGGTAACCGGCTTAATAAGGTGCTCCGTCTGCATCACTGGCCGCCGCCGCCGCCGCCGCCGCCGCCTCACACACACGATGCCACAGCGTACGGAACCGTCACTGGGCTGGATCCACCACACACACACTCCACACACACACGGTATCGAGTACATGTCCGCTAACAGACAGATGGATTCATTCATTACGGCTGATCTGATCGGATGTTTTGAGGCAGAATATTGATCACAGAACAGTTCTTATCCCGTACGTCCACATGCAAAAAAAAAAAAAAAGAGCATTTGTTGTTCATCTCTCTAAAACACGTCATGAGACTCCTGGAAAGATCTGGACGAATGTTATTTCATTAAATGATTGATTCAGTCTGATAAATGTGTTTAAAATGCCCATTATGACTTCCTAAAGTCCACAAATAATCAGTTTATATTCATATAAAACAAAGACAAGCAGCAGCTTCATATATCGGACAAGCTGGAGTCCATTCTGTCTTTTTTTTTGTCGAGTTGCCGATTCGATTTCTGAGCATCTCCTGAGTGATTAATCGACTAAACGTCTCTGCTCTACATCTACAGACAATAAACTGTCCATACATATGTAATCTGACCACAAACTGCTGATTTATATCAGATTCATTCTCGTTTAGCTCCGGAGAGGCTGCTGGACGACGACGGTGGAACAACAAGTCGCTTCATGGCAGCGATTCATTTTGGTAGAATTTAGCAGGATGATGATCAGACAGCAAATCATTACGCAGCGATTTCACACGGCCGACCGACTCATCTGAGCCCAGAGCACCTTAATTAAAAACATAATAACCTGAAATATGGTTTCTGGATTGGATTCTGATAAGTCAGGGGGAGAAAAACCAAACAACCGTTTCTCTGACTTGTTGTTTCTCATTTCTCTCTTCCCTCCACCCTGTCTCTCTCTTTTTTTTTCAGCTTTTTCTCGAGCCTGACTTCTGCAAACCAGGCACTTTTATTTCCTCAGCAACGATTTGCTGTCAGCAGAAAGCAGCCGAATGGCTTCTTTAAAGGGGGAGAGGAGGAGACGGGATGAGCTGAAGGGTCAAGGCTGGACAACATGTCGCACTGACAACCAAAAGGAGAACACAAGAAGGAGCAAACTGTTCACGTTACAGACGGATGAAGCAAACAACAGAATGTCTCACGTTGTGTGAATACAACGAGCGTTTGTTAATAAAACGCTGGAATACACAGAACTCTGAGCTTCCAACACACAGAAGGAGCTCGTGCAACAGCCTGCAGCGCCGACCTTTAAAGCCTCCGGATGAAAAACGAGCCCAGCTTACAGCTCCTCTCCTCTTTAAACGTGTTATCCTACGCTCTCAATCTTTCTGTTTTTTTTCTCTCCGAAGCTCCGGCAGCCGTCAGCGGAGCCGTGAGTCACGGTGCAGTCTGGGAGTTGCAGTCTGTTGGGCGATTTTTCGAGCAGCGGGAGACCTGTAGCGGCCGCTAATGAAAACCACCATCCACAGCCAAGAAAATAATTGCTTCCAGGAACCACATAACAAGTTTCCTGTGTTTGCAGAAAAGTGACGTGGGAAAATGTGAGAGCAGCTCAGCGTGACATTACAGGCAGACATTTGGTTAGAGAGCGGTATGACTGGATGTGATTGTGATGAAAACATGGTGTAAAACTGTGTTCGCCGTCCTCACGTTCCTCTGTGACCTCCTCCAACCTGAAAAACGCCAGATCACCGAGCATAAAAACAAGCCTGTCTTCTATTAATTCCCAGAAATTGCAGGTGATGCATGACTTTCATTAGCGGCTCAGTGTCTTCCCCAGACGTCGGCAGTTTAATCACGGAGCCATGACAAACGGTGGCTTCCCGCCAGAGGATGCCGGGAACGCACACGTGCATCCCCACAGTCGGACAAGTTCTCACTTACCGAATTCGTCGCCATCTGGGTCGTGCATCGCGATCCTCTCCATGCATTTCTCATGTTCGCGCTTTATGATGCAGTGCTCGGACTCTGAAGCCACCTGGAGGAAACACACAAGCACAGAGAGGTTTAAAAAAGGTCCTCAATCTTCAAGGACAAGTGAGAATCTAGCAACAGAGGAGCAGATGAGAAGAGCAGGAAACCAAGATACGAACCCTCTGCAGTGTGTAATGTTATGTGTCTGTGTAATAAATCCACCCAGGAGCCCTGAGGACCACGGCGACAGAGAAGGAGGCGCAAATCAGAGCAACGGGGAATTCAGACATGAAGTGCGACAGTATAAATAGCAGCACAGTCAGAAGCACCGTGAGGTGGTGCAGCGGGTTAGACGAGGTACGTTCACTCAGCAGGTCTGGGTTTGATAAATGCTGGCTTGATGACTACCTGGGTTTGTCTGGCGGGAGGAGCCCAGAGCAGAGAGGAGGAGATCTGTTCAGGTTCTGTTGGGTTTGGAACAACATCAGGGCTTCATCGTTATGTGGCAAAACATACCATCCATCATCTCTACACCTTAATCCCCACCAGGGTCATTAGGGGGCGGAGTCTATCCCAGCTGACTCAGGGTGAAGGCAGGTTCACCTGGACAGGTAACCAGTCTATCACAGGGCTACACTTAGAGACAGACAACCAAGCACACTCACATTCACACCTACGGACAATTTACAATCACCAATTAACCTCAGCATGTTTCTGGACTGTGGGAGGAAGCCGGAGAACCCGGAGAGAACCCACGCTGCACGGGGAGAACATGGAGACTCCACGCAGGAAGATCCCGGGTGTCCTCACCGGGACGCCAACCGGCGACCTTCTAGCTGTGAGGCAACGATGATAACCACCGAGACACCTGCAGCCCACGACTGGACATTATTGGAAAAAACAATGATAAAATCATTCTCCTTGTTCACCACCTTCTGTCCACCCTGATCGTCTCTGGACCAGGACCTGTCTGCTGTTAAAACTCAACCTGCAAGACGTGTTTCATTTCAGTTGCATCAAACTTAGTATTTGAGAACTTTCAGAACCACGAATGGCTCATCGACTACATGACGGGGCTGTTATAGTTTCGATGGGTGGATGGATCTTAACGTCCATCTCTGCTCACATATCTTCTGGTTGTCTGGTTGACGGTGAAATGAAAGCTTATTGTACTTAAACTGTAACCTGCAGGTTGTTCATGTTGGTTTTACAATAATGCAGATGTTGTTGATTAAGACTGAGGGTGTTTTTCAAGAATAAAAAAAAGGAAAAGAAGCTTCGCTCTCAGAAACGGTGGAGGTGGGAGGTGATGCCGGTGAATCCAGGGTCTTTCCAGTGAACTCAGATCCCTCCTAAATCTGAATCCCACCACCGGTTCTTCTTTAACTATTTACCCAGAGCCAGTGGAGTCACTGTCAGCCTCTCTGTTGATGCTCCCTGTGGCTCTCTTAAGGCCAGTGTCTGTGTTGCGTCGCCTGCTCGGCTCTCCCCGTGAAGCGATAGGTGTAATATATCCCGCCGAGCCGCGGCTGACTCATCACTCCATCGCTCTGCCCTCCGATATGAATTCACTTCAGGCCTCGCTGCCCAGATAAGATAGGGCACCAACCGGCTGTGAAGATGTCCTCGGACTCACTTCCTTCCTTTATCTCGCTGGACGCCGGCAGAATTTAAAAACGCTGCATGAATTACATGGAACATCATTAGAGGCCGTCTCCAGAACACACCTGTTAGAAACGCCGGACCGCAGCAGCCTCAGAGAGAATCCCACGTTCTCCTGTTGTCAGTGGTGTTTGATATTATTTAATAAAACCAGCTCTGGCATTGTTTGAAAGAGAGACCTCGCTGTGCTGGTGGCAAGCATCCACGTTGCTAAGCAGCAGGTAACCAGCCAGGAGCCGGCGCACGCTGTCGGCAAAGCTTCCCAGAAATGAGAAATAATTGGATGCAGATGACTAATACCTGTTTGGCACCAACGCAGACGGGCCTGTAGGACGGCAGCATGAAGCCATCGGTCGTATATTCATATAGAATCCTGGATGCTATGAGCTGGATGATCACATCTGCTGGAATTACAGTTGTTTTCTTACGTAATGGTTTCTGGTTCTGGTACCAGCCATACAGCACCAGTCGTTTATACCTGGACGGTTATGAGTCCCTAAATTAAAAGTTATTATTACTATTATTCAGATTTCTGGGCGGCCTGCTACGCACCTGGTTTACCGTCAAACACCAAGAAACACGTGGATGTTTCTGGAAGACTGACCCAGACTGAACTTTTACAGAACATAGCACGAAGTCAGAACCTCCGGCTGTGTTTGGGCTCCATCGATGGAAATCAAGTCAACATCAAAGTCATTAAGTCAAAGCATCTCCGAAGTTAAAATTCAGTTAAAATTATTTTAAATTAAATAGATGTGAATAAGACGAGTCATGCCTCCTAACGACAGGCATTCGTTTGGAGCTCGGTTCATGCAGTCGCCTCTCAGGGACCCTCCAGGATTCGACTAGAGCCTGAAATCACCCAGAGCCCGGCAGAAGCAGGAAGCAGCAGTAAGCCTGTCTGACCAGCAGCTGTGTTAATATCACAGATTACGACTGAAACAGATCATATGAAATGACCAGAGCTGGACTTTAACGAGTTAGTTTTGATTAATTAGTTTGCAGAAAAAATAACGTGTTAACAAAACAAAACAAAAATAAATCGCACCTTTCTCAGTTCTCTAACTTCTGGCCCACCGGTAACGCTGATGCTCACACTCCAGCCACTAGGTGGCGCTAATGCAGCTGAAGCTGGTTTACCAGCCATGAAGAAGATGCACAAGAAGGTTTGAACAGTGACAGAAGACGCTGCGTGGCTTGTTGGGAGGAAAGTTGATTTTTTTTATCATATTAATTTATGCAGAAACATTTGAGGGTGTCGGAACCAAAGTGGACCGAACCACATTTAGTAGTTTTAGAGATAAATGGGCTCAAATGTAGTGTTGCTAAAACCATCCTGGTTGTTGGAGGAGTCATTATCTGCATCCAGAGATAGAAACAGCTGCTCTGTGAGGACTTATTTCAGTTTTAATTTCCTTCTGCTGAGCACCAAAGCGGGCCGTACCACATTTTATACTTCTTGACAAACAAACTGATTCCAGGTCTGTCTTGTTGAAGAGTTTACATCATCAGGAACTAGAGACACTTCTGAGGTACTTCTGACACCAGGTGATCTGACCAGAGAGCTGCTGGCGGTGCGTCTGACTGCCTGTGACGTCCCGGCGGTTCGTTATTCTCATTAATAAAGGTTTTACAAGCGTAATGTGCAACAGCTGATTTTTTCTTTGCTCACTTGGGGGCAGCGGATGCAAGCTGTGAACGCGACACATTACAGGCCGTTCACGCTCTTGGATCCCATCAGAGGAAAAGATCTGCGTCCTTCGTTTGCTAAATGTTTCGCCTGCTGACTTTAGCACAGGCTTCATCAGAACATCACCCAGAACCGCTGCCTGCTAAAGGACCTTGAAGAAAATACAGGATTTTAGAATTAAGATCTGAGCTCATATATGCTCGCGTCATGTACTTGGAGGCCCAAACAAGACAAACTGATGGGGATCAAAATAAATAAACCACATGAGACTCTTTCCAGGTTGCAGGTGTCAGTCGGGTCCATGTTTGTTGTAAACATGTCCGTCGGTGCAGCGGTGGAATCACTGACGGTTTTAAAAGCTCCGTCCTAAAACAGACACCATGACAACGCTGCCGGCAGCACCGGGCGCATCAACGGAATAATTTTTAAGTGTGCTTCTTATTCTCTGCTCCCAATCACTCCTCTCCTCTGCTCTGGAACAGATGTGTGCCCGGATAAGCCTTCCATTCGGAGCCCACGCAGCACAGTTTCCCTCCCCGAGGCTATTTTCGAGGGCCAGATAACTCAGTAGCTCCCACAGCGCCACGCAGCACAGATAATAAAACTCCCATTTGACGTCGCAGACCACTGGCCCGGCGTGCAGACCCATTTGACACACAATAAGTACATCACAACAGACATATCTGCCACATCAGCCGCTGAAGGTCAGCTCCAGACCGCATTGTGCGCCGCGGATGTTTCCGGAGGAGCGCTCCACGTATGTTCGGGTGACTTAAAGGTTGAGAGGACGTCTGTGGCTGCAAGGTCACGTCATGAATTAATTGTAGTCTCCTCAGCTGTTGCTATTTTTCGGTTACAAAAGCAAAAAAGAAAAATCAGGTGGAGGAGGGATGTGAACTTTCAGACAACAAAAAAAAGCAATTTATACATCTGTGTGGCTCCGAGTCCTCCCACACATCTTCACAGCTCCTCCATTCTGCTTTTCATTTCAATGAGGCCGCTAATAGATGTGAGTCATGGCAGATGGATCGACAGCTCTCCGGTCAGTCGGGCCATCTGTTATTGTTCTAGGAGGTGGCCGGCAGCCTCAACGCAGAGCTGATCTGGGACCTGTAACGTATGCTGATGTGCTGATGCGGCATATGGTGATTACCGTCCTTCCAGCGCTCGCCACCAAAAACAAACCGGAGCCGAGGAGGGGGGAGGATGCAGACATGTGAACACGCAGCACCTTTATATATGGATGTATGCATTCCTGAGCATCCCACACACACTCACACACACACACACGCCTACACATGTGAACAGCACACACACACACGCCTACACATGTGAACAGCACACACACACACGCCTACACATGTGAACAGCACACACACTCACACACACACTCATGCACGCCGACGGCTCACCAAGGGCAGCAGGAAGATTGCAGTCAGCAGGCAGCCTCTCATTGTTGCCCGTGAAGCGCTGGTATCCAGAAGGCTCCACGGTCTCTGCGTGCGTTCACAGGGATGATGCACCACGCTTCAGCATCAAGGGCTCTGAAACACAGCGCACAGAGGCAAGAGGCTTGGTGAGAGAACAAACGGCAGAGCGAGTCGGTCGACCTGCGAGAGGCGTCACAGGAAAAGCAACAAGCAGACGACCAGTAGATGTTATTACTCACTACTGAAGACGCTCCTTCAGCGGTGACGTCACTGCCAGCGGCTCTGAGTTACTGATCTGTGGACAGTTTGTTCATCTTTTCTTTTGCACAGATTTTAATTCCTCTGGAGTCATTTGAGAGCTGCTGTGTTAGTCTGTGACTAGCTGTAAATGAAACTGATGGTTCAAATCTTCCTGAATTACGCCGGCGTGCCGCCTGGAGAGCTCTCAGCCTTCCTGTTCACATCTATCTGCTTCTGAAACTGCCTTTTGCACACTTTTTTTTTTTTTTCCCATCGACTCTTGCACTTTATTTGCACCACACATCAAACACTTGAACATCTTATTCACATTTTCTATATTTTCTCATTATTTATCTTCGCTTACTGCATTTTTATCTGTGTTTATGGTAACTTTACCCTCTCTGATGTCACAACCAAATGTCCCCTCAGGGATTAATAAAGCATTTCTGTTCTGTTCTGAAGTGTTTGTTTATAAATTCATTTCATTTGACACAGCCAGACAACTTCTAGAAACGTGTCGTCTCCATGATAGCAGCATTCTACGATGAAGAGTTTAAAACAGTCTGTCTATAAATCATGTGACATTGACTTCATTGAACATACATCTTTTTCCTTATTGTTGCTTCTATTCCAGCTGCCTGTATGTGTTTATCTACATCTCCTCCTTTCATCTCTCATCTTAACGCTCCGTGATGTTCAGCACTTTAAACAACCCACAAACCAACTTTCCCAGCAGCTTAGTGGGACACACTGGGAATAAATCCCGTCATCTGTTGAACCCGAGCTGGTTTCTGGTGATCGCATTCAACCGTTGACTCGACTCAAGTGACAAAACGTACAAGTTTGAAAACTGTGATGAGCACTACCCACCAATACAGCACTTTCTGTGTTGGATTTTTGTTTAAAAGATGTGTTTTAGTAAATAAAATCAAACAAGAACTGTTCCCCAGTGAGGCATCAGTGCAGTTTATCTCATCTGATGCAGACACATAAACAGAACACACAGGCCTTCGGTGGATTGCATCATTTCAGAACCCTGCGCTCACAAAACCGCCTCGATCAGATCAGAGTCAACACACGACTGCCAAAGACATGTCGTCGCCTCCTCCACGTCAAAGCAAGGATCTGAGACTTCATGACAAACTGATCACTGAAGGCAAGAAATTTGGAAGCGTCCGTGAATCTCTCTGATAACATTCATGTGCCTGAGGTCAGCCCCCCTCCGCTGCCTCCCCCTCTCCACGTCTTACTCATCGGCACAGCTTCCTGAAAACACAATGATTCACCGCAAACACGAAGCTGCACTGACCAGCAGCAGCACACGACAGTAAAACAGCAGAACACACAACGGTAATTCATGCACACACACAGTCGGATTCAGCTCCTTGTCCTTTTCCCTCTAGTAACGAATCCAATTACCTCCGAAGCATCTCTTGCATGGTCTATCAAGTAATAGGACAGAGCGTGCTCGGAGGGAAGGCACGCAGATATCCAGGAGGACGACACAAGTCAAGCAGGGCTGGAACCGAACACAAACACAGACAGACACGGGATCAATTAGCTCCATTTCTTGCCATCTTTTCAGTCAAAAAAAAAAAAAAAGCCCACCAGCAGCAGCAGCAGCAGCAGCCATGTTGCTCCAAATGAAGTTAAAAAACATGCAGAGCAAATCTGTGAGGAAACACTGGTGCTGCAGGAAACAGCAGACGGGCTGAACATCGAAGCATCCTGAAGGCAGGAAACCAAATTCAAAGCCCTGCTCTGGTGAGCTGTGCTGTGCTGTAATGCCACGCTAGTATTCACTGTTGTTGTTATTAAAGTGTCAGAGCTGAGCATAAGATGAGATGTAACAGCTTTCAGTCACAAATGCTCATCTGTCTGGCAGCGAGCTCGACCCAAACACTGACAGGAAGCACACAAAAAACAGGACGACTGGGAAACACAGCCACTGAAATCAGCAGCAGGTTGTCAATCAATGACAAGACTGTGAGTGTGTGTGTGTGTGTGTGTGTGTGTGTGTGAGTGTGTGTGTGCAGATGCAAAGAGAAAAACAAGAGCGAGAAGAACCGAGTGGCATCGAGTCTCCTCAATGATTAATGCCCAATGTAAAGGGAATTTTAAAGATCTGTCTGCACATATCAGCTCCATGTGTGCTGAGACCCTCTGAACAATGTGCTGCATCAATAATTCATCTTCAGCTTTAACCCACTCCAGTCAGACAGGAGAAGAAGAAGTAGAAGGATTCCAATTAACCCAGACGCTGTAAACAACGCACACACTCAGCTCCATCATGCTCCTCAGCCAGAAGCACACACGTCCTCCAGGCCACATCAGTCCGTCATTCACAGCACGGCTCTGAACGTCAGGTGCTTCGTCTCGTATGGAGGCAGAAGAAAAACGCAAAACAGCCTTAATTGCAATCAATAAGTGATCAATGACATTTTCCCCTCGGTGCTACAGATCAATAGGCTAATTTTGTCCTGCCTTTTTCCCTCCCAAGCCCCCATTCGCGAACCTTTAACTCATCTCCCTGTGGATGACCTTCGCCTGAACATGGACAGCATGAGCGAGGAGCAGCGCCTGTTCACGGCTCACCCACCCGGTGGATCCCGCTGCTCGGCGCTTCAGAGGAAATGGAGCTTCTTAAAACCAAAGCGGGTTCAGGGATTCCCTCCTCTATTCATCATCCGAACCGAGGACATGTGAGGAAACGCGCGCAGCAGCCGCCGTGGAGCAGAAGTCAAAGGAACTTACCGATGCGTAATTTTCGGAGGCGCAAATATCTGCACATGAAGCCATCGGTATTTCGAGATCCCCGGCGGCGTTTCTACCTGGTCCTACTCCTGAGGCAGAATCAGCCCGTCCTGAACACGACAGGTGCCGTTACTGCTGCTGCTGCTGCAGGACGCACTCACCGCGCTGCTGCTGCTGCTGCTGCGGCACCACGACGACGGCGGCGCGGAGGAGGAGGAGGAGGAGGAGGAAGAGGAAGAGGAGGAGGGTATCGGCTCCTCCGGGGTTCGCACCTCGTTAGACACAGAGGCAACAAAGTGAGACAGTTTAGTCTACAGATGCAGGGATGCAGCGGGAGGAGGCGGAGGGAGGTTTTCAGCTCTGACACAAAACATCCTCTATGCGTCTTTGCGTCGCGCGTGGGACCTGGTTCCAAAAAGGAAACTACTCATAAAACTCGCACGTTTGCGCCTGCGCGGCCCAGACGCTCCAGAAGGCACCAGGTCCGGTCGCCCGCTGGGTGCAATTTGTGAGGCACTGAGTCGGCAGCAGAATGTGCGTGACTCACATCCAGCCCAACGTTTAACATCTGAGTTCCTGCATGTTTGGCGCAGAGATGCAGAAGTGTCGTACTGTGAACTCTGCTCCAGCAGCAGCCTTATTCAGGCAGAGGTGATGTGCAGGTCGCTGGGCTGCTGGTCATCCTGTTTACTGTCAGCACCGCGGACAGCGACCAGACAACCGCCTCAGGGCTGAGCTGAGGGCACAGCCTCCGGTGAAGCTCACGATCTGAGTCCCAAGAGCTGATTGTTGTAATTCAGACAAGAGAGAGGGGCGGATCACTGAGCAGACCTGGACCTGGACCAGAACAAAGACATGCGAAAAGACCTTAAAAACATGCAAAACCAACACAAAGGAGCAGAACGTGACAATAAAGAGATGCAAAATAAATAGAAAGAAGTACAAAAATACCATAACGAGACGCAACATCAACAGCAACAGGCCCAAAATGACTATGAGGGGATGCAAAATGAACACAAAGAGGCAATAAAGCTCTGGTAGGACACACAGAACCAACATCCAATGGCGCAAAATGACCATAAAGAGATGCAACATGAACACGAGGACGTGCACGACAAACACCAAGAGGCAAAAAAGGACCGTGAAGAGGTGTGAAATGAACACAGAGAGACAGAAAATGACAATAAAGAAATGCAGCGAGAGATGCAAAACGAACCGCAAGAGGCACAAAATGACCATGAAGAGGATCAAAACCAATATGAAGGGGCTCAAAAAGAGACGCAGAACGACAGCAAACGGACACGAAATGAACACAAAGAGGCACAGGGATGAAAAACATCCACCGACGTGCAAAATGAGCAGAGAAACCTCCCAGCACGATGGAGGCCGATGCAACATGAACACAAAGGGCACGGATTCATGCTGCTTATTCACTTTGCACAGACCTTCATTTGTCATTAATTCATCACAGCAAACACTTTTTAAAAACCTGACCCTCCTTTTTTTAACCTGAACCCAGTCTGGGCCCCAGAAGCTCTCCGTCTCTAGACCTGAATCCAGGATAGACAGTTTCCAGAACAGCGACATGCCGGCCAGTGTTTGGAGTGCAGAGACGTGATTGATCGCCCGGCGGAGGCCTTTTGATAGGCTGGCTATAAATCAATGGGGCATAAAAAGTATTAAACCCGGGGAGCAAAACAGGAAGCAGGAAAGGCCACATTAACTGCCTTGAAGACACCGGCCCTATCAAAATGTATGAGGCGGGGTGGGGGTGGGGTCCACGAGTGCAGTGACGCATGTCTTCTGCTGTTCCCGGAACATTTTAACATCAGATCTGCCTCAAGGACATCCACAGAGAGGATCCCGGTGAGACACATTCAAAAAACAATTCTGGCATTGCAGTCAGAAATCGGTGGACTCTGTTTCTTCTTTCACATTCTAGCAGGTAAGAACTCGGGTCGAGCCTTGTTTCCATGGCAAACACTCTGCCGTGTCTTCCGCCGGCTTCCAGTGAATCAGGCGATGACGCAAAGACAGAATCGCACTGCTGCCATAATTACAACTGTGTGTGAGCAGAATATCAACAGAGGAAGAAAAACAAATACTCACATTGACGTGCCGTCGATCCGCCGCCGACTGTGGCTTCGGTTCGGTCGCAGCAGAACACACTGAGGTTCTCAGGTGTTTGTTCTCAGCCGTCCTGATGGTGGCGCCGCGATGGGAACGTCTGCCGGGTTCACAGGTCAAAGCAGAGACTGTCAATGACCCGACGCCAGCAGATTACCTGTGAGTTATACGACGCAGGTGTTGCATTCTGACAAATGTCGTGTCTAAATAGAAAGCTTTAACAGTGTTGGGTCAGGACGGTGGAGACGGTGGAGGAGGAAACCAGAAGGTTACATCCACTGTATGAAAAGTCTTTTCTTTTCTCTCTATCTGACATTAAATCAGACTAAACGTTTCCTGTTTCAGCTCAGTCAGGATCACCAACATTAGTTCTATTTGCTAAACACCAGAATAATGAGGGAGAGAATTTTTTATGACTTTCTTCAGAGTCAGAAGTTTCCATCCATCTCCTCAGTATCTGCTAGCGTTGCCTTTAAGTTTTGTTCTGGGGTTGATTCGCACATTTCAACCAGAACTCTTCATCTCTGGACTCGTCTCCTTCCTGAGCCTATGATGGCTGGACATTCCCATGGTGGTTCTACTGATAGAACCGTCTGAACAGATGAACGTGGAACCTTCAGGCATCTGGAGGTTGTACCCAAGGATGGACCAGACTGGTGGAGGTCCACAGTTCTCCTCCTGATGTCTTGGTTGATTTCTTTAGATGTTCCATGTTGTCACAAAAGGAAGCAGTGTGTTTGAGGTGTGCCTTTAAATACATCCAAAGGTGTGCCTCCAGTTAACTCAAATGTTGTCAATTAACCAATCAAAAGCTTCCAAAGCCATGACATCATCATCTGGGCTTTCCCAAATAGTTTGAAGGCGTCTTAGTGTAGATATGTTTAATCCCTCCAATGAGTTGTGGCTCTACTGAAACAGAAAGAATCAGATTCCTGAACCACCTCAAGAAGCAGCGACTCTACAAGCTTCAAGCTTCCTCTGGATGTTGGACGTCTTCTCTCTGAAGTCCATCCACGCTCCAGAGGAACCCTATTTCAGCCATGTGCATCCACTGGCTCATTCTGTCTGACGCCACCCAGAGCTCAGGACCACAGATGAGGTCAGAGCGTCCTGTAGGTGGGTCCATTTCTTCACCTGCTGCCCCTGATCCATCCATCCATCTCACACTCAACTGTCCCATCACTGGTGGACACAATCCTGAGATAGTTAAGCTTTTATCAGGCAAGAGACCATATATGGTAGCTTCCTTTAAAAATGGTCAGAATCACGTGACTTCATCCAGCCAATCAACCAAGGTCAGGCTACATGACAACACAGTCGCTATGGCGTCTGACCAATCAGGAGTGAGCCAGAGTGATATTTAGACACAAGTGTCCTGAGTTCTGTAAGTCTGACTGCTGATTTGGAAATAAATGTTCCTTCATCTTTATGTGTGTTTGTTTTACAAGAATGTATCCACATATCTTTGGTTTTTTTAATCTTTTATTTACCCTAGGCGGGCGAGGAATTGTATTTGATCTGAAACGTTTTTCAAAAGTCAAAAAAGACAAAAATGTCCTCTTCTATCCACCAATAACGTTCCAGGGTTCATTTGCAGCAGCTCGCCTCCAACCCAGAGGGAACAATTCACTGTTTCCCAGCAGAGAGCCTCAGATCAAAGCTGCTGGATGGCTGAGTAGCTGTTGGTAAGTTACAGTGACCAGACTGTGTGACCGGGCTCTCCATGGAGCTGGTTGATGGAAACCAAACCTGTGAGGCCTTGGAGCTCAGTGACAAACAGGCAAGTAAACTGCAAGACAAATATATAAAAAAAAAACAATAATAATTTAAAGGGATGATCAGCTGGTTGCTCCCGACTGAATGGAAGCAAACCCCTCGTATCTACTTTGCATGTAATAAAATGAAGGTGGTTTCACGCTCCGTGCTGTTTGCAGGGATTCAGGAACAGTTTGTTTCTTCAGCCGCTTCACTGACACTTTCTTTTAAGAGAGCATTTGCTCCATCGCAGCACCACTCAATGAGGCTCTCCACAGGACGCCTCTCCCACTCGGTCTGCCATCATCGGCCCGCCGGATCGCCATGGAGACTCGTCTTCAGCAGCATGTGGGAGGGAAAGCATCAAGTGGTCGAGTGCAAAGCCCACCTACTCACCTCGTCTCAAAGAGGACGCCGTGGGGAGCCGGCCCAGACTTCCCAACTTCCATCTTCACTGTCCTCCCACGTGTCGGCCTCCCGCCGGACGCCTGGCGTGCAGGAGATCGATCCATCAGCCGTGCACGAGAGCCAGAGGAGGACCAGGAAGGCTCACGACTAAACGCTCTGAAGAATGCAAAACTGAAGGGACAAATGAAAAACACCCTCCATCGAATCACCTGACAACCACACGACTTTCTTTTAGGGTGTTTGGTCAGTAGAGGTTTGCTCTACAACCTTTGTTTGACTACTTTTGATGAAGAGAAGGTCGTCACACAGCCAGTTCTTCCACAACATATCACATCACATCTCACAGGAAGTCGGCCGGCTTCACAACAGAAAGTTGGGAGAAGAGGAGGAGGAGGAGGAGGACTGCTAAAGTTTTCACGCAAGGGCAGATGGTGAGATGAGCAAAAGGCTGATGAAAAAAAAAGTTCTCAGTCGTGAGCTCTCGCCTTCTTTCTTGCTTTTAACAGCAAATGTGTGCCGAGGAACGGAGGAGGGAGCAGTGGAGGATCATGGGAAATGTGTCCTTAACTTTATGAGACACCAGGAGCAAAAGATGTAAAACCCTTGAACATGACCTGATGTGGTCCTTCACTGTCATCAGGGGAAGAACTTTTAAAACGCCTCTAATGATACCTTTTTATTAACAACAGCTGAAGAACATTCCTGTAAACACACGTGGAACAGATTATTCTAGGACACTAAAGCACAAGTGCTCCTAGACATAAATAATGATGTACAGAGGTAAATATTGAGCCCACAGCAGCGTTGGTGACGTTTAACGGGGTTCTCTGAGGCTTGTTCAGCGTCAGTATAACAGAACAAGGTTTCCTTC